TAAAAGTGGTTTTTACTCTACAAGTTGAAAATATAAAACTATGTAAATTCCATCAGATAGGCATGAAAAAGTAGCCGTTTTTTTCTGACGAGCGGAGGAGGAGGAGAAATTCTGGAAACAGTCAAAATAAAACTGAAGTGCTTATCCCTCAAAACGTCCAGTTTGAGATTGAAGCTTTAAATATTTTTCCACTAATTACGATGTTGAAAGCATCATAATAATGAAAATCGGACATACGACCCAAGCCAAGATCTATATGCGCCACTGATAGAGCCCAATTACTGAAGGTACCGTGACTACTCTTCATCCTTCAATCCTTGAATGCCCCTTAGCTCTTCAAATATTTATTTAAATGATTTTTTGAATATTATGGGTTCTGTTGAAGTTAATTAGATAAAATACAGGGTGTAAACGTTATGATAGTCATTATTCAAATGGGTGATAGAGGGGTTAAAGGAAGCAGAAAGTTTCATATAACATGGGGGTCAAAACGGCATGTTTTAGAGAAAAGCGACTTTAAAGTAAAATAAAATCTGACAACGCCGCAATGCCAGACGCAAGTTACGACGGAACGCAGTGTACATGAATATTGAGCTTGTTATTTTTGGCTCTTAGGTATTATTTCATTATTTGGTAATGTACTCGTAAAATGCAAACAATTAAAAAAACGGACTTACCACTAATTGTCACACACTGGTGTTCAAAATGTCGTCCTCCACTTTCGACACAAGCTTCATTTTACGACTTTCACGAATGGTATGAGGATTTTCTTGGGCCCACGTGTGAGTATTATGGAAATTTAATATCCCGTCTCGCGTAAAGGTGCATTCGTCAGTCGCTAGAATGTTTCTAAAAAAAATCCGGATTTTCAATGTTTTTGTGCAAAAACAACTGACAGAATGTTACTCTGCGAGGATAGTCTTCTGGTAACAAAGCCCGCACTAGTTCTGCACGGTAGGGATAAAGCAGATTTTTCCGTAGGATTCTATGGAATATGGTATGCGATAGTCCTACGCGACGGCCTAATTCCCGAGTGCTGATTTCCACGATATTTAAAATTTGTTCCTCCTACTCTACAGTAACCTGTCTTTCACGAGTGCGAATATTAGTGGGCTGAACACTTCGGGTATCTCGAGGTCTTTGGTACACTTGCACAAATGTCCTTCTGTGTGGGTGTACTCGTTGGCGAAATCTGCCGCGATAAATTTGAGCTGCAAGATTCTGACGAATTTTACCGTAAACTAACAACATGTCGGCGAACTCGATTCGAGAACATTGTAAATCAACACTAAGACTTACGCGAACAAAAAGAAAACAACATACTAACCACTGTTACCGTTTGCGATCGATTGCCGGTTCGATAAGAGTGATGGTGACCGACGCGCTGTTGTCATCTGTGTTCTAGATATTTAATTTAATGAAACTTACGGACTACAAATTTTGGCTTAACTTAGAAAAACTTAATGCCATTTATTTGTTAATTACCCAATTTAAAAAAGTTTTAGATTAGATTAAAAAATTAGTAAGATTACGGTGATTGTGGTCGATATAAAGCACTTAAAGTTTTAAACTATACAGCCACTTAGACAAAAATCTATTGACTTTTGGACCATGGGTCAGATGAACTTTTTGTCTTGTTTTGACACCCCCTACTACCCATTTCAATAATGGCTACCATAACGTTTACACCCTGTATAATGAATGTTTAATATTTTCACACACATCTGGTTCTCTATAGAGCTGCTTGGGCATGGGAGGTGGATGAAGGGCGCAAGAGGGAAAAACTTTACATAAATTATGAATTTCATTTATAAAATGGGTTGTATCGTAAAATTAAAAGACGAAACTTTTTGCACTTGTCTTAGATTTTTGCATCTGAGAATATAATAAAATTTATTTCATAGTGTAAAATAATTATTCTATTTGTATTTTAAACTTTACTTAGGATTAAATGTTTATTCACAGAAAAAAATATATTTCAAACTCAGTCATGTTTCAATAGAAGCAACTACATTAACGTTTAGCTCTCTCCGTATCCAAGGTTCCCTGGAGGGGACCTGAAATATCGAACTTGAAGAATAAGTATAACTACTCTATAAACCACATTTAAAGGTTTGATTATTTGAACTAAAATGCATTTGAACAAAGAATTACAGTATGAATAATATGAAAAACACCTTTTCGTTTCCATGGCTTGCAAACATAGAAGCCAGTTTCGAAAGGGCACGAAATGCGGTCGAGAGAACAACTTTAAACTATGTTATTCATGTTCCTACCAGTCATCTCAGTGATGAGAATGAACAACTTGAGGCGGAATTCTTGAAAAAATATCAATAATTGTGTCTAGACGACTTTTGAATTGGAGGGTCAAGTACTCGCAATAATCCTTTCTGGAACATGCATCCCTGATCCTCGCATAAATCATTTGTTTTTCCAGACACAATCAAGTCATTTGGGCATATGAAAGTGAAGCGCTTATAGAAGGTAATCATTTTCCTTTCCTAATGGCAACGTATACAGTGCAGTTTTATTCTTGGTTGAAATCGTCACTACGATACACGTCCCTAAGACAGACAATGAAATGCAAGCAAAGAAAACGTAATAAATAAATTGCTGTACATATGTGAGTGTAAGGATTTACTTCACCTCCATTTATTTTTAAGAAGACTAGTAAATGATTTCCATAAACATAAATTTTAAAATTATAATATCTCCATAAATTTTATACCGGCGTGAATACTGGAATATTTTTGAGCCAGACGTTAATTTCAATTAATTCTCTATTGCCTCCGCCATCCGCGGTCTCTATTTATTCCGAATCATCATTAAATACAAATAATGCTAAATACTCATTATTATTTCCACAGAGCATTAATATGCATGTGCCTGTAAATTTTAGATAATAAATTATTAATAGGAAGGGGGATTATCCGACCAATACAGATAGTGACTTTTTTAAATGGGTCTTTAATTTATTTAATCCACATTGGTGATATGGGTCCATTATCGCTTGGGAGCATCTAAATGCGGCTGAAACAGAGAATGGCGTTGTTACGTAATACCCTGTTTAATATTCTGACAGATTCGGATTTTTTTAAAGGTAACAGTGTTCATTTACTTACATATAAAGCATACAGGAGCTTTGCATAACATGGTCAATAGATCAGAGGTCACATGCCAAGTTATCGTAATATACAAAAACTGCTCAAGATCGTTAAGAACCTCCATCTAGACAGAGTTCCCCAAACTTTTTTGTGTCGTAGACCCCTTGCCATGTTTTTCCGTGTTGGGTAGACCCCCCACTTACCTGATATTGATTTCCTGTAAATTTCTAACTGTAGTGAAGTTTAGTGTTACAAACTTAAAGTTAAAAACACATGTTAATTTATATATTTATTAATTGAATTTAAATTAAAACTACTCAAAATAAAATTTTGTATCTGTCATGTAAAATATACGTAACATTAAATAAACAGGTGCCTGACCAATAAGTGCCCGCATTGGGAATAAGTGCCCGCATTGAAAAAAAAAAAAAAATAAAAGGGATAAAATAAAAAAAGTGAAAAATAATAAAAAAAAAGTTTTTTACTTAAAATAGTACAATAAGCCAGTTCGTTTATTAATTATCACATAAACGTATGTTCTACAATAATTTCACTGTTAGTTTGATTAAATTCCGCTTCTTATACGTTTATGTTATCTAAAAATAGGCAAAAAACTAACGAATTTTAGTGTGTACCTATCCTTGAATTTTCAGAATAATTTAAAAAAAATATATTTTCTATAAAAGGGGGTTCTTTAAAAAAATCAATGCGGGCACTTATTCCCAATGCGGGCATTTATCGCTCAGACACCAATAAACATAAAATAAACTATAAATAAGATAACATAAGCAATAAGTCAATATTTTTAGTGAGAAGGATGAGCCTGATGCTTTAATAATACATTATCAACATTTGGCGTCAATTTTGTAAGGGTTAATCTTAAATCTCCTCGGCTAAAGATGTCCAGTTTGTTTCTTTTTTTCGTTAGGAGATTGGTAACAGCGCTGAACCCCCTTTCCACTAGGTATGATGATGGAAAGGAAATTAAAAATGTCCTCGCTATATTCCATAATACGGGATAAGTAACGGGTATGTTGTTTTGCAGCCAGAATTGCTGATATCCGTTTTTAAACTGAACCTTAAGTTCTTCGTTTGTACTTAGTTCAGTCAGTTCCTCTTGTATTATGACATTCATTTCTTCTATGTCACCATATGGATTAATTATCCACGGTGGTATTACCATAGTCAAAATATCCTCAAACCTAGATTCAAAATCTGAATAGGGGGCATTTAAATGTTGAACGTAAGTTGAAACGTCGTCTTCCTTTCAGCTTGTTTGTGACAAATTGGGGAACTGAGAAAATTCGCCCCGTCCAATATTTTGCTTCATTAGTTTAACTCTGGCAAGAAACGCTGATAAGATGGACTTTGTTTTAATCAAATTTAAACTGTCGCCTTGTAATTGCAAATTAACCATATTAAATTTTGTAAACAAATCTGTTTTCCTCTTCATTAAATTTTCTTTTAAAATTCTACCTTTAGTATCCAGGATGTCTGAAATAGTCTCAAAAAGTGCAAAAAATCTTGTCAAACATAAGCCTTTCGACAGCAGGCGTACTTCAGTGTGAAGGAGTAATTGATGAAGGTGTTCGTCATTTTCTTCACACAACTGCGCAAATAACCGCGTATTCAACGCGTTGCTTCGGATTCGGTTTACTGCATCAATGACTAAATGAAGTGATTCATGCAATCTAACACTCAAATTTTTAGCAACTAAATGTTGTCGATGGATGACGCAATGTATTGCTAACACCCCTGACACATTTTGTTTTAAATAGCTTATAAATCCACGATAACGTCCAACCATGGTAGGTGCTCCATCTGTAGCTACTGATATTATATTCGATATTGCTTTTTCAATGAAGTAATCCTTCAGAACATGAAATATTGATTCACCTTTAGTGTCGGTTATCAAAGTTCTTGCGAAGAGCAGTTCTTCGTAGATTTCTTGATTCATAATAAAACGAACATATGCCAATAATAATGCTGCATTATCAGGTAAAGTTGACTTGTCCAGTTGTATAGAGAAATGGGTCGTTTGCAAATAATTACATAAGAAGCTTTCAATATCAGAACTCATTTCATCAATACGTCTTTCAACAGTATTGTTGCTTAAGGGAATTCTTTTAATGATATCAGATGCAGGTTTGTGTAAAACAGTTTTTAAAACCTGTTCAACGGCTGGCAGAATTAACTTATCTCCGATAGTATGCGGTATTCCGGATTTTGCTATAAGTAACGAGATATTGTAAGACGCCCGCAAACCATCATCATTTCTTTGTGACGTCGAAGCGAACATTCTGTCCAGTGTAGGTTTCTTCTGAAATTTGTCTTTGAGTGTTTGAAAGTATTTCAAATCTTTCTCTGTTTTATCAGGGTGGCATCTTCTCAGATGATCTTGCAGTTTAGATGGTTTCATAGCGTCATTGCCCAAAACTTTGTTGCATAAAAGGCACATAGGCGATTGTTTGTCCGGCAATGATGGAATGAAGCCAAATTTCAAATAATCAACACTGAACTGTCTACATTTCTTTTTAGATTCGGACATGGCATCAGTTATCTGTGGGCAAAATTAAATTATTTAAATAAGACAGAAAATCCAGCAGCTGTATATTAAAAATATTTTTTGATTTTTACGAAAACATTCCATAATTCGAACATCTTCTTGCAACAATTAGCTCGAATTACGGAGATTGCACTGTAATTATAATATTATATAATATATAATATAATTACCGATTGCTAAAACTTTCAAAAAGAAACTATTGAGGAGTACTCGTGTAATTTTGTATGATTGAATATTTAACTACTAATAACTAAAGTCATGATTGGCGTAATTTATCTATCGTTGCTAACTACGAGAACAAAACTAAAATTTAATAGAAAATAATGTACTTACTTTTCTCCAGCACTCTCAAACAAAATAACACTGACTCACTATAATTTATGTGATATACTATCTGTTTATATTTTTTTAAATATTTTCTTAGCACTTTCCTTTTCAAGATTCAGGAAACGAATAAACGTATTTGTCCCACATTCGTATTTATAGAGTGACGAATTGAACAAGTCAGTGCAAGGTTGCGAAGCTCTGAGACTGCGACTCTCAGGTTTTTACAAGTTCAAAATGTATTGCGACCACAAAGCGAATACCAACATCCTACAACTTATACAATTTTATAAACATATATAATAATTTTTTTACTTCATAGGTACTTTTATAAATAATGTATATGTTTTGATATTATAAGATAGTATGATGTAAGTAAATAGGTACTATCAGTGTATGTGTTGAGATCCACTATCGTGGACCCCCATATTCATTTCATGGACCCCCAAATTTTTTTTCGCTGACGTAGACCCCTTGCAGGTTGTCATAGATCCCTAGGGGTCGATATAGACCACTTTGGGAATCAATGATCTAGAACGTAGCCCCTCAAGCTCAAGATTAGCCCCCCAAATCCGATGGTCACAAACATGATGGTTATGCCGCAAATTAGCCCTCCCAAACGCGATAGTTACAAAATAGTACCTGCTATTAGTGTCCTGTCATTATTCTTATTCCTACTACTTCTTAGCTAATGGACGAAAGGATGCACCTTATGAAACTCTTCGAAATGAACTGAAACCAGAAATCTTTCAATCAGTAGATACTTTGTTTCAAGTGGCAATAACGTCACCAGTGACGTCTGCCACGAGAGGTCATTCTCCGTTATGCGGATCATTTTGAATTGGCTACGACATTCTAGGGGCCAGGAAAGATTTTCTGCACTTGGATTGTTATTTATCGAAAAGGATATAGAAATAAATTTGGAAGATAAATATGCATCTAAAAACAGAAAAATAAATTTAGGCCCAATTTCACCAACATTAATATTATACACCAATGGGAAAATACCTTATCGAAATGCAATTTACAGAAGCTGTCAAAGGTCTCTGAATATTAGTGATTTCTATTCAAATATTGAATGCATGCTGCTTTTGTACAGAAAAAACAGGACAACTTTCATGTATTTTGATATATGTTATAGGTTTACATTTAACAATCCGTTATCCCCCTCAGCGAATGGGAATGCGGCAAATAATAGGTCGATTTTCTAGCTGCTAAATTTGGCGGCAGATTTGGACGTTTGCTAATGCATGGCACTCGCGAATTTACCAACTTCAATATACTGAAAGTTATCATTACATACCTGTTGAATAGTGTGAATTTGTCTGTATTTTGCAATAAAATAGAATATAAAATACATTCCATCCAATTTCTCATCTTCCTTTACGTCATAATAGTAATCATTTATTAATTTATGGGTTAAAGAATTTCTTCAAAGCAATAAAAATATTATGTCCTCTCCATCCTACAACACAGATAATATGTCTAAGACGTGTCAATCCCTGATGCATAAAGCAATTACTATGGACATAGACAAAAAATTATGAAAAATGTTTCACAAATAATGTCTTTTAAGTCCAAAAATCATAAAAACTAGTAATGTTTATTGTTCGTCTTTTTGATTGGCGGGGATATCTATCTGTCACTCGCAGGGTTGCCAAGTCTAACGACGATCACGTCCCGTGGTGGATGGTGCGAAATGAATCTTTTACATTTGCTGGTTTGGAATTTTTTTAGTGAAAATTTATTAGGTATCATGATTATAAGCATCTTTGGTAGATTGTTCGATCCGGAATGGGAAAGATCTCCTATTTAAGAAAATATTTTTGGTATCATCTAACCATTGCAATCAGTACACAAACACTGTGACATATGATTTATAGCATAACCCGCTGCCCTATCAATACAAATTTAACATACAGGCCACCTACCCGTGGGGTGCAGTGGTCGGGATGAATATCACGGCAGCAACTGATGTTTTGGGCATGTCTGGTAACAACGTATGAAGTGAAACTCGCTAACTTCACAAATTTGAAGATTTTGTACAATTTCTTTAAAGAAGATGAAAGATATGTCTGATTTGGCACGGCAATGTCGCAGCCAAATGGCAGTCACTCTTTCTGACACAGTCCGGATCGAAAGATGACGATACTCATGAAATGTATCGATACATCCAAGTGAAGTATATTAAAATATCGATCCAAAATATCGGGTATGGGAAGCAAAAGTATCGATACTTCTAAATATAGGATTGTATCGAACATCCGTACTGTCAAGATGTATAATCCGAGGTACCGACGCAGCTATTCTGGGGCGTCATGGAAATAATTTTAAATTTTCATTTTCATTTTTTCAAGTGTTGAGCAGCGATTTTGGAAAAAATTCCACGAATAGTCTTATAAAGCATAGTAGAGTATATTTCAACAGTTGGCGGAGCGTACTCCACTGGGACCAGGGGGGTGAAACGGGATATTAATGCACAATCTGGCAACCATGTTGCATCCTCAAAAAATGGCTGCTCACAACCACACAAGTCACCGTGTTTTCATTGAATAGCATGGAATTAAACCTTCAGTATATGTTTTGTGACTGGTACCAAGAGTTGACAGATCCCACACATGTGTCACTCCTTGAAATGCAATAATCAGCTGTATTCAAATAATGTCTAATATAAATATAACCTAGAATGTGTACTCATGAAAGAAGAAAAATATGGCAAATTTGTAGTTTATTTTGCAGGTTTTAGGTTTGCTGGTAGCTGTAAGGCATATATTTGGGAATTCCTTAATCGCTGTGAATATAGTGTGGATGTTTGTTCAGTTCCTGAACAACGAAAAATATTCAACTTTATGGATGTATGGATATAAAAAACCTGAATGGTTTTGTGGGAATATCAATCTAAGGTGCCATAATGGTTCTGATGAACGGCAAGCAAATGAATGAATGTTTGGAAACGAGCAATATCTTTCAGTAGAGCCTGTCATCAAGTACGTGCTTAATGGCTCTCTGCAAGAGGTTTATAGGAAAAAAAACCAGTGTCACATATAAATTGAAGAAAATGATATAAACATGAATAAAAAATCAACAATGGTAATTAATACATGAATTTAATTCAAAAATCAAACATTTCTTAAAATATTGACTGAATTATATGTAATTTCTTAATATTCAATAAGCTGGTGATGTTTCAATGACAAGTTGTCATCTCATACTTTGACAGTATTTTGTTTTCAACATTTCATAGCTATCGGTTGCTGAAATTTGTTGATTGGAACTTGAAGCTCATTCGCTGTAACTGACGGTCTGTTACCCTATAGGTGGAGAGTAACGGACTGTTGTTGGCGAAACTGGCCCTTAATTAGGTTTCATCATTACTGTTAGATTCGTCTCTTTTGTGCGCTGGTCAAGCAAAACAAGTTCCGACTAACATCTCGGGCTTTATCCGTCTTGAGTCACTGGCGCCCTTAACCCCCCTACTCTTCGCTTAATTGAGCTAGCGCCTAAATTTGCACACCACTTGACAGTTGTTTTGCATTGACTGAACCTTAGATTTCATTCATAGTAATTTATTAATTCATTAGTTAATTAAAAAAAAGAAAGAGGAATCATACCACCATTTCCTCTTGTCTTAAAAAGAGGCGTAGCAATTAGTCTGAGATCCGCATTTGTTACGACCTTCACCCATCTGTTTAATGGATGAAAAGTGTTTTATACAAACTTGGTATATTGAAGAATGGCGAGACTATGATGAATTAGAAATAGAAGAATGACTTTTTATCATACAAAATTATAATAGTATTGAGATAAACAGTATAGATTGCCGTCTATTAGTGTCTTGTTTCGAAAAACCTTATACTCTGAATAAACTAGAGTTACTCAGCTTTCGTTCGTTGTCCACCGAGACCAAGCCTACACCATGGTGAGGAGTTTCCAAGCAGCACGAAATAGATGTCCATGGTTGGTTGTCTTTTGGTCTTTTCATATGATATTCGATACGAAAAGTCAAGTTTGACAATATTTCGAATGACAGGACATTTTAAATTTTGATAATTCTTTTACCGGAGACCTCACTGTAGCAGCTGCCTTCCTTTTGACGATGCCATTCAATGACGAGATCGTGTGCCATCTAACTTTACATCGTTTCCATCATACATTGTTACTGCCGCATTCGTTTTACGACGCGCCGTCGAGAGCTTTTCCGCTACGCAATTTTTCCAAGTTTCAAACTCCTACATCGTCCGGAAGAACTTCCAGACCATTATCAAATTGCCATGCACCGTTACACTCAGGTACAAACTCCCGGCGCTCTGCCGCCGATAGTTCCCTAATAAAATTGTAACTTTCTTGAACTCCTTAACTCGATTAACTTCTGTAATAGCTCAAATCCAAACTTGAGCCATATGGGAACCGGAGCCAAGCTGGTCGCCTAATCGTGGCCGCCCATTTGTTTATATTCAGGGCAGCCAAGTACTAAGCATGCACAGAAATTTCGTAATGGACGGATTCGATGGATAGTCCGGTAGGTCTGG